AGCCAGGATGAACAAGGCTTTTTTTCCCTTTTTAAATTACTGTTTTTTCTTTATAAAACCGAACACCAACACCAGCATCCTAAGAAGCACTTACTTCGGAAAGCTGCCAGGAGATGCTTGTTTTTCCTCAGCCACAAAATTTCTAGTCTTGAACACCAAACACAGAGCACAGCAGATAAAATTCTACACAAGCAACATTTTGCCTATGAATGTTTCCTACCTTCGCTGTGATCTAGCTCTGGTCGGTAAGACAAGAAGATCCAGCTCGTCCCAACTAGAATAGACACTACCAGATTCACCACAACCCATGGCTGAACAATTTCTTCCTCTGTACCTGCCATCCTGGGAAAAACACATCAACCCATCAGTCAGGGGTTCACTGGTACATACAGGTTACAATAATGATTTCCACAGAGTATCATAAAAACAAGCTTGCTAAGCCAGATGTGAAAACAGAACTACGTGTACTATCCTGATGGTCTTGCATTGTAAAGGCCTGGTAAAGACAGTGACTACCAAAACCAGGAACTTGGCTAATAAATCCCATTATCTGATAGAGCATGTCCACTTGTAGAATTCAACAGCAAATTCCTTTTCTTAGCCAAGTGACAGAAAATAAAAACCAAAATGCATGGTCAAATTTTACTGTGGTGAAAGACACTGCACAATGTTGTCAGTCAATCTTATTTTTAAGCACTTCCCCATGAGGCAGCAAGGCAAGTGAACAGCACATCAGTAGTTTGGAAGCCAGTGAAGGATTTGTGAACAGATGCTGTGGTGTGGTAAGACAGGGCTTTAAGAAGGTTAAGATTTAAGTTGGCTGATGCTTTTCTTACGGTCATAACAGCAGCAGGTTGTGGTTTTGTTACCAGAATCTAGGCTTTTTAATAAATAACTGAACAAACATTTATAGAAGCCCCAAAAAAAAGTGAGAAAGAAAAACATATCTAACTGCCCAAACCAGCAAATTTTCATGTAAACGCTTTTGTTCTACTTCTCCTAGTCTATTTTAAAAACTTGTGCTACTAAAGGCCATTAAATATCTACTTCAGAAAGTAAAGTTTTGGATGGAATCTCCTAGCATGAAACAATGCTTCATATTTAATGCCAGCTGTGTCTGCTAAGCCCTTGCATCCTGTGGCAGACACACCACTTTTTCATAATACCATGACATTAATTTCTTGGACAGATTAGACTATCTCCTTCAAAACCAGTGTTGACCCTCTACAGAATGACCTGCCCTTAAAGCAGAAAAGGGTTACCTCAGTATGGTCCCATTTCTCCAGCAAAAGAGATTCTTAAGGGCCCTGCCAGATGACATTTTCAGCATCATTCCAACAGGCTGTTGTTTGAGGTATATGGATTTGCAACCAACACAGACAAACCCATCCTTGCATTCTCATTTTCCAGTGAAATTATCAGATTCAGGACAAGCTCAGACAAAGTCAGGTTTAGTTGTGAAATCCTTCATTAATACTTCCTTAACTATATGGTATAATCTTTTCAATCCACCAATCTGACTAAGGTTCCTAAGTGAGCTATGTTAAAATTTACAGAAGTGATTTCATAAGTTTCCTACCAGATGCTGCCATTTTCCGAAGGTGGTGTGTAGAGGTTAATTCTGTCACATGTCATCTGCTGGCTTAAGGATAAGATAAGAGCAGCAAAGTACACTGGAAAGAATGGAATTAGTAGTGTCAGATACAAACTCCCAAAATGCTGTCTCATCATAACATGATAATTATTACTACAATTTCTTTCCTTTCACTCCACTGCCTCCAATGATAGTCTCCTTTAATTCATTCTCTCTTCTTCAACATTCCCCTGACCCATCAAAATCTGGTTTCTGCACTTTTGCAATCCATCAGCTACAACAAAGGTGGCATCTTGTGATTCTGGTTTTTGCTAGGTCTGTCTTCTGTATTCAGAAGTGGGAAAGGAACTACCTCGCTAACAGCCCCACTAACGCTACTATTGCAAATGCTTTAAAAAAATACATAGCAAAGTGTTCATAGCCTTTGAATGCTATTTTCAACTACTGAATGAGTCATCTATTCTAAAGCAGAAAATAACCAGGGAGGAAGATTTCACTGAAAACAGTATGTAGGATTTTTCCATTTACTGTCTTTTCTGGACAATTTCATATCCACTTCAAAATACTTACAGAAAGAGGCTACTGCTGCTGGGTCTAGGGTAAGAAAGCCCCTCAGTGCAACTGATGCTTTTGCCAAATCAATCCTGATAACAAAAACAAGAGTTATTTATATAGCCCAGTAAGATAGTAATATTGTTCCTGTGACAGTATTCTATTCTTTTTACTTCTTGCCAGATATGGTTTTCTGCCTCTGTTACAGTGCCTTAATACACAACTATAGCTCAGACACATTGGCAATGGTCCTCATTATGCCAAATCCAAGAAAGACTGAAACTAAGGAGGAGGTTTGTAGCTTCCACATTGCCATCCTTTCTGGAACAGGGAGGATGTGGAGAGATATGTCCCCTCTCTACTCCTTATCATACACTTCAGCATCCACACCACCAACCGAGTTATGCTAACATAACTGCTCACTGGTGTAAGCACCAGTACAGGAGCAATGAAGAATAACTCAGGCCTCCTCCCTGCCGCCACCACTCCATTAAAAAAAGTGTCACAATTTCTTCCAGAGCACTGACTCCTCCCCACACTTACCATGCCACCATGGACACTATCTGTAACTAAAAGAAACATCTGTAACATCTGTGAATCTATTCTGTTTATGGTCTTTTTTGCTCCTCTTTCTGTTCATTCCCACTCTTAAGCTGTAATGCAGAAACCCCAGCTAAGCCAGGAAAACTGTTTACACGGGTATGTTGCAAACCTGACTGGCAAATGGATTCACATGAAAAGTAACCTGATAGAAACACTAGTTGTTCTCCACCCCGCTCCCCAACAAAAATACAGGTCAGGTCTTCCATCTGTTTAACCTCATAATCACACAAACAGCCCCAGCACATTGAAGTAAGGCTTCAGGCAGTGGACAGAAACGAGTAACAAAGCTCTGAATGCACAAGTACACCTTTTGTCTGTATAGCCAGCCATGTGTAAAATAATTCTTTAAGTATATCACATTAAATCATGTGAAATCAAGCAGATTAAAATGTGCTATAGGAAGGAGAAAGGAACATATTGCACACAAATTACATACCCCTTTCAAATACAAACATATTTTACCTGTCAAAGGCTGAGACTGTACTGATAGACAGCAACAAATAGAACAAACTTTGAGCTGGGTATGCTAGTGTCTTATACTGCTCGAGCAGGTTAGAAACCCTGGAAAGCTGATTTCCTGCCAAAATATAGATAACAATGATGTTCCATACAGCATACCCAGCAAGGAAGCCATGGGTAAAGAGTCCAATCACCCTGAATGAAGAAAAGAACATTAGACAAGTTTAACATATTGAATTATCAAAGTACTACAGATAGAAGAGGCCTATGAATCCACCTGTTCAACCCTGCTGCCATGATAGGATCCCAGCCTTTCACAGATTGTTTTTGAGTGCTTTTTCTGATCTAGTTCTAAAAATTCTAAGCAATGGGACTTCTGCTTCCTCCGTTGACAGACTGCACCAGAACCTGAGCACTTAACCAAGAAAATCAACATGTTTTGCCTGATCCTATCACCACTTCATTACTGCTACAGGAATCAAATACTTTCACTTGCTGCCTGTAGCTTCCTCAGACCACTGCCCCTTACATTTAACACAATGCTTTTGAACTTGTCTTCCGAGTCAGTCTTTTCATTATCTTCCTGGCTAAGAAAAAGCTGAGAAGGGAGCACAGGCTTCCAGCTAAAATACACCAGAGAAGAAAATGGCTGTCATCTTCCCATTCTGTATCACAACACAACCACATACCAAAAAAAAAAAAAAAAGTCTTTTTTTGCTGTTGTGTGCAAGCTTATACCCCAGTCCAATCTGCTCCTCTCTCTTTTTCACCAATTCTTTGAGAATTATCTGAATTCAGGTACTTTTTTTCTGGTCATAGAGCTGATGGGCGAATTTTACTTTGTAACACATTTTTCCTGTAGGTCTCTAATATTTTTGTAATCAGATCAATCTCTTGCTATTCAGATTTTGTCTGAATCATTGCAATATGACTTCTTTAGTTTTTTTTTATAAGCTGCATTTCACATGTGAAGTCTAGACTAGAAACAGATATTCTTGACGACAAAACCCAAAAGCTAGAGGACTGAGAAACTTTATACCTGTTGCATCCCAAACTACCATTTATTAGGAATATAAAAGAAATAAAGATACATCAGAATCATAGAACAGTTTCAGTTGGCAGAGATCTTCAATATCATCGAGTCCAACCTTTGTCCTAGCTCTATCAACACCACTAAACCATGTCCCTAAGCACAACATCTACCCTTCTCCTAAACACCTCCAGGGATGGCGACTCCACCACCTCCCTGGGCAGGCTGTTCCAATGCCTGACAACCCTTTCAGTAAAGAAATTCTTCCCAATATCCAGCCTGAACCTAACCTGGTGCAGCTTACGGCCATTTCCCCTTGTTCTATTGCTTGTCACAAGGGAGAAGAAACCAACCCCTGCCTCACTGCAACTTTCTTTCACAATGATAGAGAAAAGGTGCTAACTTTCAGGGAGAAGAAAAAAAATCAACCAAACCACCCTGATTTCTGCTTATTTACATCAAAACATTTATCTTTCACCTGAAACTTCGGTGCACTGAGAGGGCAACATCTCTGGTAGTCCATGAAGCCTTTACATCCATAAGTACGTTGATATTTTCAGTGGTTTTAATCAATTCTGCACGGTCAGCTGCCTGAAAACGCCCTGAAATAATGAGGAAATTAGTTTTAGAGAATGCTGTTACCTTTCTTCATTTCCACAATAATACTTATTAGTGTTAAAAAACTGTGTCAGAAGTTCCTTCAGAAAATTTCTTCTCCCCACTTCCTGCCCTCTGTCAACTTACATTCATACCAGGATGCCTCAGTGTGATGCATCCTGGTGGGGCAGGCTATGGATTTATCAATGGGCAAAGCACTTTAGCTAATTATTCAGTGTTCCCTGGTACAAAAAAAGCTACCCAAAAACCACAACCAAAAAAACCCCATCAATATCGCTACAACTTCCACTTGAAGACTTTTTGCAATATAGTACTGTATAGTACTGTAACAGTATTAGATCAAATAAGCTCAGCTAGGAACTATCAAACAGTCTTTTTCACCCACACCAAGGACAAAAAAATTCAGCCAAATATGCCAGCACAGCAACACTAACATCCATGGTTGAAAAACTGTCGTGTATGTTTATTTCCAAGTAATTTCTGTTCTGGAAAACTTTTTTTTCCTAATTATTTCCAATACTGCAATATTTGGATTTAAAATACAAAAATGCTTCCTTTTTGCACGAATGTCCTTGAATTATTAAATCACAAGATGTACTTACGATTTTTTTCAACAAACACTTTGCTAACAGGCTGGCTAATTCCAGTGGGAGCAGCAAACACAGGCTGCTGATCTGGGCTCTTTCTGTGCTCATCTTCAATGATGTCTTCCTCCTCCACTTCCAGCTCATTGGAACAGTGCATTTCGGCTGGCCGAGGTTTCCTATTAGCACAGAATGTACAATGAGGCAGAGAAAGAACAGGAAGTAAAACATAAAACCTGAAGGCTCCTATGACCATTTCACATGTCTAACTTCACTGATAAGAACCAGTCAGACTACTGACCTGTATAATATTACCCCCGTTTATAATTTTAAGGACTAAAGTTCTCATGGAGTTAGTTAACTAAAGCCATAAAGCTAATGCTTGATTTGGGGGGGGGGTTCTCTCTATTTAAATTCCTTCCTGTGTCAGAACAATAAGGTGAGAAGAAATACATATCAAGAGATTAACAATTAGAAAAAAATTGACACAAACTAAATACAAGGCTGAGAAAGTGGATGCTTTTGGTAAAAAGGCAACTAAAATGATTTAAAGGCATAGTTCTTGGAGAAAAGGCAAATAAAAAGGATGAGAAAGCAGTTAAGTTTCGCATAAAATTAAGAAAAAGATATTAAGAATGAAAGCAAGCTGTTACACATTGTAATTTTTTCAGGTATGTGACTGAAATATTAGGCTCATGTAAATGTACTCAGAACTGTACTGCATCCAGGTATGCATAAAACAAACAAGTGAAGACAGTCAGATCTTAACCCTGGAAGAACTGCACACGTACTATTTATTGCACAGGCTGAATGGTATCATGGGCTTCAAGATTTTACATTTTTGTAATGTGACAACGTAAAATACCACGCAGCCACATTCACTATCACAGTTATGCCAAATTATGAGCTATACTAGTTTTGTCTCACTTTGTTCTTTTTCTCTGTTTGCGGATCACTGTTTCTTCAGCTTCAGGGACGTCCATGCCATTTCCATTCTGAAATAGGGATGCAACATTTTGCTGGGTAAAAGAGGTCTCAGAATCTGAAGATTTAAAATAAACCACACAAAAGTTTCACAACTTCCATAAAAATGGCAATACATTCAATTAAATACATAAATAGTTATTACATAAACACAGTGGCAAAAAAGGGATCGTCTTCTGAGCTCTGAATTATACAAAGGATCTATTTTCTCTCTCCCAAAACTGCATTGCCATTATTTGCATGAGGGTTTGTACCCTATGGAATCCGAAATCAGAACCTGAAACTCTGAGCAACCATTCACTCAGAGGATCACTTTCAGCTGTTTTAAGTATGAAAGCACAAGAAATGCTTTAAGCCAAAATACAAGTCGGCCAATCATATTTCTGTGTTACCAAGCTTTATTCAGCACTCTTTGCAATCTACAGTTATGTCACATACCAGTAGGTACTTTCTTCTTCTTGCGTTTCCTCTGAGGAGGGACATCATGAGGTTCAGGAGTTAAGGGCTCACTGCTTTCAGACTGCCGACGAACTGCTGCTTGGACAATGCCATCTGAAAACCACATTAAAAGATCCAGCAACCTTAATTCAGAGCTGCTGAGAAACATGCAAGCAAAAGCTGCCTTTTCTACGTTGTGCAGAATATCTGTATTTGCCCAGCTTACAGCTGAGATGAACATGTATTGGCTAGGAAATGTAAGAGTTGGGAAACAAATGTGGTTAAGTAGGAATATACAAAGGTGATAGCTGGCAACTCTCCTGTCACCTTGACAATTTCACACCCAGGAGGAAAAGTGTCCAAGAAGTAGCAAAATTCCCATTTGGGCATGCAACAGCAGACTGATTGAAAGAAATCTACCACAGGAAAGAACTATACACTGTATTTTTCCTTTCTACATGCAAAGATTATAATACAAGGGACAAGAAAAAATTAAGTTTGTTACAAGCTGATTCACACAGATAGGTGCTAAGGCAAAACAGCATCATATCAAAGGGAAATTTAAATACTAAACATACACCACAAGAGTAAAGTAGGAGCTTTAAAAAACAGGACTGAAGGATGTTTAGTCTGAGAGATGAATTACTACACTTTGGAGGAGCTACATTTCCATGAGAGATTAGCAAATATTCTAGCAGCAGTAGCATCAATTTGCATGATTGGTAGTAGAACGACAAAGTTACTTCTCCATTTTACATAACACCTGCCTTTTTTACAGCTCTTTCAAGTACTGCGATTTTTATCGTAACAACTCCATCTATCTTTTTTTTCACTTCAAGCACAGGTTTTCCCACCTTTTAGAAAGCTTTCCTGTGCTAAAATGCAAAATTAACCAGCAAAGTAATGGCCAAAGCCAAGGCGCAATTTGCACCATCATTCAGCTCACTGAAATCAACAGTAAACAAACCTTGATCCTTGGGAAACCCTGCTAGCACCAACTCTACTTGTTGCATTTAAAGGTCTTTCAGTGAGGCCTCAACTGTACACTCTTTTCAGCAAATAAAGGAGGTTTACTCACCAAACCATCATATGGACCCAGGTCAACTGGTTTAAAGAAATCCACTAGGTCCTATCAATACATTCTGACTTATCAAAATAGATCAGACTTGTAATCTTGCTTAAAACAGTATGTTTGTTCTGCGGATCTGCTTCTTGTAAAAGTACAAAGCTCTGGTGCTAGTCATCTTTTGTACTGTTAACACTTTGATGATAATGGAACAATTAACTTGTGACTTTATTTGCCAAGGACTGGAATTGAGCCCAGTTTGTTAAATAAGTTCTATCTTTGTTCATTCAAAATTCCAGCACTTAACACATTTAACATAACAAGCAGTTTACAGCTGGAAATAATATAATATCCAAATATTATTAATATAGTATCCAAAAATTTTGGAAAGGAAAAAATAGCAGGAATAAAGGAACTTTTTCAATTCAGTATCAGGACATGCTGTACTAGCAGTACTGGGAATGGATCTAGGGAGAAAGACCAGAGGATGGAACAAGTTACTTCAGTTAGCATTACAGACTTGTTCTAAAATGACACCATTTGGGGAAAAAGATTGCAGTCGTTCAGTATAAAATAAATTGTAATAAATTAGCTGAGAAGACTACTCAAAAATAAGACTACAAGACTGAAAACCATGTTATCTGTCAGGACCTTGGCACAGTGCAGGTCTCACCCGGAATTACAAACACAGTTTTCAGTCTTGGCAGGACCTTACCTAATGGAGTCTTTCCTTTGGGTTTCCTTTTTTTGGGACGACTGAGTGGAATTTCATCTGCAGAACATAAAACAGAAGTATAGGTGCACAGCATGAAGAAACCTCCATTTTCTTTTTTTAACAGCCATTCTATTGCTAGTTAAGAAAGGGGTTCCTTTTTACAAGTGAAGACATCCTTCACCTTTTACAGGTAAGATGACAATTCACCAGTTCACACAAGCAGGAGGAGTACAGAAGATGGTGGGAAAATAGGATAAGAAATCTGTCTTAAGTGCAACAGAAGCTAGATACACATGCAAGTGTGTTAAGTGAAAACCTGAAATAGTCTGAATAATGCTCTGAAGAATAAACTTCTTGTTTAGAGCACAGTGATAACATTTCAGTTACCTTGACTGAGTACGGAAATAGTGAACAGTAAAGAGAACAATGAAAAACAACAGACAGTTATAGCAATGGTAGCGCAGGTATCCATGCAGTTTAAATAATCAGCGTGCATTCAGGAAAAGTATAAGGCTCTATCTTTAAAGAGAGGATGAAGTGACACCAAAAGGAACTACCAATGTTTATGATTAATGCCAGAATACCTCACCTTGGTTTCCACTTCACATTTAAGTAGAAAAGGTGTTGAAGATCAGTGTAAAAGGAACAAAGATGAGAAGAAAGTTAATTTTGAATAAATTACAGTTCACAACAGTGAAATTCACACTGCTGCTTTTCATTTCCTTATCCCCACTCCCAGTTCTCTTTATGAGCACTTGTGTACAACAGGGTTAAGGGTACGAAGCAATCATCGAGTCTCAACACTTTGTTCATGACTATGCGCAGTTTCTTGATTGGCTAGCTGTGGATCAGATTAAAAGCTTTAATCACCTGGCTAATTAAAACTTGTGCCACTGCCTGATATGTAACAAACCAACAGAAGTTACGAAACATTTAAGTGCATATATTAGTAAAAACACGCTATATGTTTTCAATCATGAACATCACATTTGCTTTTAGGTACTCTGAAGGAATTCTGAAGTACCATGTCATAAAAACTATGCAACTGCTTTTCCTTCCACATTGAAAAAAAAATCCCACATTTTTCTGTATACTATATAGAACTAGTAGACACCTATACCCCCCATTCAAGAATATCTAGTGTAATTCCAGAAATTCCTGAAGGATTTGTGATTCAAATAAAGAACATGAAACGAAACAGAGGGAAGGGAAACTGAAAAGAAGGACATCAATAAAACTGAAGTAGCTATTTGCCTGAAACTTTTTAAAGAGTTTATCTCTCAAAGTATTAAAATTGAGGTAATACAGGAAAATTTCTTGATCTCTGTAAAACTTTAACATGCTTTGTATTCCTTGTAAGGCGTTCTGGGACAACAAATTAGTAAGAAAAGCAATTGTTTTTAAAGCTGTTATGACTACTTAGATGCTTATTTAACTTATTGCTGTTAATTTCAATACTTTTAAAAACACTGCAGTACAGAACTATGATCAGTTCCACAGAATGAACTGATTTTACCTTGGCACTGGAGGGAGGGCACGAGGCGGGCACTGAAAGACAATAAAGAGACAAAAGTCAACTTCTGTCAGCATGAAACCGCCTCTCAGAAAACAGCTATTTTCCAGATAGGGTCAGAACATAAGTATGTTTTGCTTCATGTGCCTCTTAAATAGCTAGAGACTCCTGATGGAGATGTAACATAAAAGTAATGTGTAATATGTAAAAGATGCAGAATAGGCTTTTACCAGAGTTCTGATGGGCGCTGCGTTAGGGACATGTACGTAACAGCTGTGTGCGAGGCGCAGCTTGCATTTGAACTTCACTTGAATGATTTTCACTTTTAATGTCAGGCACTGCTTTCATTGGAAAGCTTATCAGTTATTCTATTTAAATATCAAAATACTGCAGTAATTTATGCATTGAATATACTTGCACAGTATACAGCATGAGCTGAGTATTTTCTGTTAATGAAGTTGGAAGTTCAGAACAATAGTAAAAGCATTAAAAGGAAATAAAATTATTTATGAAAAAAGACCTCTAAATATGATAAAACATTATTTTTCATATAATTTTGAAAATATTTACCAGAGGTCAGATACAACTAAAATCTAAAAATAAGTATCTCCTGTTAACAATCTGAAATTGAGCTGTTGCACTCTCATCTAGAAAAAGGCATTTTACTTTCAGATTTTGTATTATATAATTATATTGAAAGAATATACATGAATAAATATTTCCCACACTTCAATAATTCAGTGGATATCAGAAATTAAAAAGACTGTAAGACTGGTAAGACTCAAGGATCCACAGACTTACCACTTGTTTCTTTCCCATACTATTTGAAGCTGTTCCCTGAAAGAGGCACTGTGAACCAGTCTATACTCCCTCACGCTGCTCATGCTGAACCTCTGCTAATTCAGAACTAAAAATAAGCTTCTAGCAGCCAGGATTAGCTGGACGTGAACTTTCCTGCTCCTGGGTTACAGCCAGTACTACTCCCATTTGAAACCACAGCAGTTTGTTCCGTGGCAGCAAACAATACTTGCACTGAAAAACCTGTAACTCCACATCCTGCTACCGGTTCCAATGGGCAAGTTTTACTTAGGTTTGTTTCTCCAAAACAAATGAGGCACCTCGTGCAAGGAAGGGTTTGCAAGATTAGTCCTTAAATCTCTCACTTGAATTTTGGCCATGCTGAAGACTGACAGCAGGTGCCTTTTCCACAGGTAGCGGACAGCACATCCTGAGCAGCATCCAGCAAACTGCTCACACCATATGGGTGCTCCGTAAGAGAAAAAAATATTGATAAAGGTCAGATCTCATTACTTTTATTGCTTCCTACATTCTTGTGGCAGTAATTATTAAATGTTTAGGACAGTTGATATTTTAAAAACCCTAAAATCTAAAAAACCCCTAAAAACTAAAAAAAAACCCCAAACCCAAACTTTTATACGGCATTTACTGCCCCCACAGTAGTACATCTGTGTTCTGTAGAATGTCTATTTTGTTACCTTCTACGAAACAACTGAAAAGCAAATTAAGTTCTGTGTCATTTATTCCTTGCAACAAAGGAAGTCACATGCAAGCAGGCAGTAGTGAATATTCATCTGTCCCACTCGCAGTAAAGTCCCCAACTCTGCCAACAAACACCAGCTTTACTCTAATAGTCTCCAGTTTCTCGGAGTCTGAAGGAACTCACTCCAAGCTCCATAGAAAAGGGGAGTTTGGGCACAGGTTTCCAGGGACATTTCATTACTGACAGAAGAGCTGCTGACTGCTAAGGTAGCCACAGTGCCCCTGAAGCCAAGAGACTCGCACAAACCAGGCAGCTGCTGCCTCAGTGAAACCCTGTGTTTGCGCACAGGCGCCAGGCCACAGGACGGTGGGACGCACCTGGGAACTCTCGCTCAGGAGGAAAAACCCAAACTCCCAAGCCCCTGGGTGTCCATCTAGGGATGCAGAGCAGAAGATGCCTCTACTCATAGGCGCGGTTCTCATGGAACGGCAGCGAGCAGCTGTATTTACCCCCTGCGTCGGTGAGCTAAGCCACCACCAGAGCTCGGCAGTGGTACCGAGGGGGCAGTTATGCACAAACTCGAAGGTTTAAAAACACTCAACACTTGGTCTTTACAGATTTAAAGCTTCGCATAGGTCTTTTTTTTTTTTTGAGAAATATGTACGGACGAAAACGTTAAAACAACGAGGAACGTTGCCTACGCCCCAGCAAAGGATGAGCAGCGACGTGCGACCCCGCGGCCGGCTACAGCCCACCTCTCGTGGGTAGCGGCAGGGCGGGCACCGCCGCCTGCCCCGCGGAGCGGGGTTG